AGGTGGCTCGTTGGTTCGATCTACTACAAGAATTTGAAATGAATATCAAGTACCGATCAGGCGAGCGGATGGCTCACGTTGATGCATTGAGTCGTTTGGAAGGTACTACGGACAGTGTACAAGCAGTAGAAGAGGCATTGGATAATCGATCCTTGGTTATGACATTAATGACTTTGGAAGAACGTGTACGATACATGCAACAAGCTGATCCTGATACATGTCGATTAATCAACATATTGGAGAGGGGTGAAGGTGACCGAACTCCATATGAGAGGAACGCTGTAAATAAATTCAAGTTGTTGGATGGTGTATTGTATCGAGATTTAGAGGGGATAAGTCGTTTTGTGGTACCTAAGCCTCTGAGAAAGGGGATAGTGATAATGGCCCATGATATGGCAGGTCATAGGGCATTGGATCAGACACTAAAGAAAATTCAGGAACACTATTGGTTTTCAAAAATGCGTAGGTATGTACAGATGCATATCGGTGGATGTTTGGATTGTCTGGTCAACAAGAAGCCTGGAGGAAAACAACCAGGAGAGTTACACCCTATTCCCCCTGGAAAAAGACCATTTGCAGTTGTTCACTTGGATCATTTGGGACCTTTTGAAACCAGTTTGAAGGGCAATAGATTTTTATTAGTGTTAATAGATAACCTTACCAAATATGTATTGTTGTTTCCAGCAAAATCCACTCACACTCAATCAGCTATTAGAAGTTTACAGAAGTTTGTTGATCAATGGGGATTGCCGGATCGTTTGATAACAGATAGAGGGACATGCTTTACTTCCAAGGCGTTCCAGGATTACTGTCAACATAATGGGATCAGGCACACTCTCAACTCGTCTCGACATCCGCAAGCAAATGGACAAGTGGAGAGGACCAATAGAACCTTATTGCCAATGCTTGCAATTCAAGCACAAGATCAAAAATTATGGGATCAGAAGCTGAAAGAAGTTGAACGTGACATAAACAACACGGAAAGTAAGACTACCAGATACACACCATTTGAGTTAATCCACGGATACCGGCCTCAGTTTCATTCAAGCGTGCTGAGATTACTAGATGGTGTTGGTACACATCAGCCTTTGAATTCAGTAGAGTTACAGGCCAAGGCAAGAGATAACATTTTGAAAACTCAGGTATCAATGAAAGAAAGATATGATCAGAAAAGGAACAAATCGATAAGCTATGAAGTTGGAGAAATGGTGGCAATGCTGCGTGCACCTACCCCAGGTCAATCTACCAAGCTTCAGACCAAGTATCGGGGCCCATTGCAAGTTATAGGGAAACTACCTGGAAACACATATCGAGTCGCTGAGATGGCAAGGGATGGTAAACACATTTATGCTACAACGGCTCATGTGTCTCAGTTGAAGGCAGTTTCAATAATGCAAGAGGAGCAGCTTGAGGAAAAAGGAAGTGGGTCATCAGCAGATGAAGATGAAGAGACTAACAAATCAAATGCTGATCTACCAAGGGTGGAAGAAACTGTTAAGCTTAAACGTCAAAGAAAACCACCAAAGTATTTAGAAGATTATGTTTAATTAAGTCCATCTAAAGAACTGATTTGTTTAATTTTGTTTAAAATATTAATTTAGTTAAATCCATCTAAAGAACTGATTTGTTTAATTTTGTTTAGAATATTAATTTAGTTAAGTCCATCTAAAGAACTGATTTGTTTAGATTTGTTTAAAATATTAATTTAATTGAGTTTGTTTTATATAATGACTTATCGAGGTCGATAAGTAAGGGTGGATGGCCGAGTGTTGGCTACCCTGTTTTTTGAAAAGGGCTTGACCATTCAGTCATGGTTATAGTCAGTCGCAGAGTACCGGTTGTGGGCTCTGTTCGTAATGTTCGTATGTTTGTTGTTATTTGTTTATGCATTTTAATAAAACTGCTTTAGTAAGTACAATTCGTTTGTCTTCGTTTAAAACCTATTAGTAACAATTATTATATACATATTGTATGTACGCGTGTAGCTTTGTAGTTATACTAAATAATTAACTGTAGGTAATAGGTATATATTTTTTAAATAATAATCGAGAATTGTAAAAATATTTTTAATTTCACCTTAAGTCATTGCTAATGAGCTGATTACTCATTATGTACAAAATAGTTACTATAGGTACATCGTTTTGATTTATCAATGTATAATAAATATATAATATATATGTATATAATTTTTTATATGTAAGCCCCCCCCCATTGAAAATATCTGTGTACGCCACTGGCCCCGGCACAACTAATAATAGCATATTTCCATATTTGATGAGTGATGACAAATATCAAAATAATGATAAGTAGGTACTTCGATCTATGAAAACAAATTTACGAAATACGATCCAACAAGTTAATAAAATTGTAATAAAATAAAAATGTCAAGAGCAAAAATAAAAATACAACTTAAAAGTCCGAGTAAGTGTGTACCTATATTATGCATTTTATTTTAATGTATAGTTTTAGATTTTGAGTGCATATATGAATGCTTATTTAATAATTGTTAGGGCTTCAACTTACAATTCCTGCTTATATGACACAATGTAAATATCAACATTTAATTTAAGCTAGGTACAAGTTCAAATTATAATAAAACTTGTGCCCAATAAGCCTATACTACATGCTTAACTATACACAAATACAAATTGTATTATTCCTTTTAACACTGTCTTTATTTTTGTAGAATTGTATCATACCATAGAACTTATATATTATACTCAGTACCTATAATACGGTATATTGATAAATCGTATGTTCATTTACAGAAATCTTTGGCAGTTCACAAAATGTGAAGGCTCTTGCAGTTCAAATGTAAATATTCTAATTTTCTATTTCTGTTATAGTTCGCATGACAAATATAACTACATAAACAGCAGGTCCACAAGTTTATAGACATTCTAATACATTCTCCCACCAGTGCCCCTAGACACCGTGCTTGAGAAATTATATTTTTTTCTACCTAATTAAATTACAATATGACTTATTAAAAGTTACCTATGTAGGTACTTGTCCAAAACTCGACTACCGGGATTTAAATAAAAAAATGTGATTTAGGTAACATATTTTCTATTGATCTATTATAAAATCGAAACTTACCCTACCAATAATATCACTATATAAAATAATTAAAAGTGATAATTAATAAAATAATTTTTTTAAATTATGAGTTATAATCCATATAGTGTAGAGCAAACGCAAATTTTACAATTTTTATTTTCGGAAACCTAGTTAAATCCACGTTTTAGAACGATGGAGCAAAAATAATTCTGACACCCACCCATGGTGGTTTTACATAACAAGTCGATAAATGTTTTTGATTATAATTGTCTGAGTGTTTCAACTTGCCGTTCTGCGTGGTAATTCACTTTGATCGGGAACAAGGAAATAATGTTAAAATTCATAGACGCGCCAGCCAAATCTGACCTTGTTGATATTTAGGTTTTAGAACTAAAATTCACTTTTGAAATTAAATATACTAATAAATTGTGCACGACAACATTTTTAGAAAAATTAAATAGTAAGTATGAAGTCACATGTAAGCAATGGTTATGTTCGAATAAATGGAATGGACAGACAAAGAAATATTATTTTATCGATCTTCAATGACTATGTAATGATTTTACAGCTAAAAAAAACTTCTTAGCACTCACCAACTTAGCCACACTGCGATAATTGGTCGCTCATCTGTAGTGGATAAGCCGAAATCTACCCCACCTCGCTGTCTGCCGATTAAGACATTTTATAATTTTACGACTTCTATTAAAAAAAATATTTATTTCAAAGTTTTAATCTGTTCTTTCTTTCATAAATATTTAATTTATTTTAAATATTTTTCTTCTAGTCTTCAATATTTTTATGAAGTTAGGTGTGTAAGTATATACCATCTAATCATTAATATATTTTATAAAATTAAAATTAAAATGCTAAACATAATATTGGTTTTAATGTTCACTTTTAACTATTAATATTTAAAAAAGTGAAATCAATTGACGCATAATGTTATAAGTTATTATGTATTACTATATTTGTTGATTTGTTGATTTGTTTAATTTAATTGCGGCTTTATATCAGTTCAAAAATAATTATGATTAATTAAGCAATAAACAAAATAATTAAATATATTATAACTTATAACTTATAATTCAAGGAAAACCTTTTAACAAAGTATACATCAATTAGAACCAGTACTCTGAACTGTATGTACAATCAATATTTGTAAAAAATATTCAATTAATATAAAAAATAATAATTTGTGAGAATAAACTTTAGTCAGTGGAGTTTTTTCATTAAAAGAGATTCATATTTTTTACACAACACAACATACTAGTATAACTATAAGATTGTGCTGGAGTATTGCATGTGTGTGTTTTATTTTGTTGCAGCAAATGTGACGGTGCATGTGCCACGTGTACAAGACGAGTAATAATGATACTTCCTTCTGCCTGTCCATAATTTAAACCAAAAACAAATCTATACATATTACCTATGCCACAAATCTATAGGTATGCAACTGTTTCTCTCTTTTTTCTTAGTGATACTAACACGATTTTCTTGTAAATAAAATTGTTTGACTGGGTATTTATGTGACTTTGACGTTGTTCGTAACTAGTGTTTGCCAATTGTTTGTTTTTCAGAACTGCTTAGAAATGCTGATAAAACGACTAATATTCAGAAACCACCGGTGTACAAGCACATTCTGCCTCGCGTTCTGGAAACCACAACTAATAATGATTACTTAAACTACCGTGACAAGATCAACGCAACAAAACTGCCGATGTCACCGCCTCCAAAACATATAACCCAGCCAACTGTGTACGAGATGCCTTCTGAGCCTATCAAGGAACGCAAGTCTTGTGTGGACCGAATTTTAATTTTTAGAGAAATACCGCCGCCAACCGTCCAACTCTTGTTCCAGGCAATTTTCAAAATCGTTAAGCTGCAACGCTTCTACTGAAACTGCGTCATCGACTGAAAATAACTTGTTGCTGCAAGCAACGATGATGGCGGAATCTGGAGGTAACGAGGAAAATCCAAAAAGTTCAGGGCCTCGTAGTGTTAGTCCATATGCACTTTTCGACCGTTCAGATGTGACCTCTGCTACAACTTCTGCTTCCCGCCAAGATTTCAAGGCAAATTCTGAGAACGGCCTCTTGTCTAAATCGTATTCGTTGAAGAGTTTGGGTGAATACCGAACGCGAACTTCGAACAGTATACCGTTGTCTGTTGACCGTAGATCGACATCAAAATTTAATAGTTCAAGCATCAATAACGATGAAGACCCACCGTCGTCTTCATCGTCATCATCCGCTACTACTGCTACCACTTCTTCCAAGAGTTTGGTCCCAAAAGAAGACAACAATCTATATTATCACCATGGTTCGCCGGCCTTACTGGACTGGACAATAGGAAATTGTAATGAAGAGACGGTCAGCGATCGTATCAGGCGGCGCAGTTACTATGTTAAACTCAAATAGTTTTGTTTTAAATTCAAGCTTTCGTAACAAATTGTCATTGTATCGGTTACCAGTATATGAGTTTTCCCGATTTGTATTTGCCTACACACATAGAAAACTATTGTAGTTTCAACACCAATTTGAGTTAATCTCATACACATGTGCCACGTTATATTCCGACTAAGGTTGGTTTGGTGTTAAAACAACATCAGTAGTTTGTTATGCGTGATTCCCAAATTCATTATAAATATTCATTATAATATATAAACATACACGAAATATATCTGGTTGAGTCAAGCTACAAGGAAATCACAGAATAACAAATATTATACTCTAGTTCGTTAGTTATTTATTTATTATTATTATATATATAGTTATATTATACTGACATTTAAATGTTGATAATTCAACGTAATAAACATATTATATTGTATGTAAATTGTTTTGTCATCTGTCATCTGTCATTGTTTTGTAACCTAACCTAACCTAACCTAACAGTATTACTAACATTTATAGGATGCAGATAACAAGCATAATTTATGTTTTATTGGACATTTAAATGTAATATATTATTGACATTTTTATCACAAATTAATTTAGAAACAATTGACTTAAACTATGATTTATGGTGTTTTTGTATAATAATATGGTATATTCAGTTTGTTTATATATGTATAATATTTTGTTTGGGAAAGTGGAAATAATACACTTAGAAACTCTACACAAACGGTCTCTCTTACGACTAAATAAATCATTTTCAATTTTCACTCAGATTTATACTGTTTTCCTTTGCACGATTAACGTTTATTTGTTGTAATTTCAAATTTACTTTAAAGTTCAAACCAATAAAATTCTTTGGGGAGTAATTCTGAGGAGTGAGAAGAGTAGTAAGGAACCCATAGGAAATTACCAACATAAATAGTATAATACTATTAAATACCTAGAGAATATTATTTAAGGGGACGCTACACGGCCATTTGTTGTCTCCGTCTTACAAGTGCGAAACACAGCAAATTTACTTACATTTTCAATTTTTTTTAGTTTATATTCTAGAATTTTCAATAACAATTTATTTGTTGGGTCAAAAAGCACGGAAATCTAATACAAGGCTCCTGATATATTGATATCTGAAAAGGTATGGTAAGTACACGTACATAATATTTACTACACTCATTTTCTGTTCCTACCGATAAGACAATTTTTCTGGAGTTCATTAATTTTGAATCAATTATAGTAAACGGTAATAGAAGTCTGCCCACAAATTTAAAGACCCTTTGAATTAGAAATGTATTAACGTAGTGGACAGTGCAATTATTTTTGACCGGGGCGCCACACATTCTAATGACCTGTACCAAGGCCTACTAGAAAAGTCTAATAAAATAGTTATACTTTTCAATGTGGCAAGCTGTAGCGTGCAAAACGCTCTTGAAATTAATCTATAAACGTCACATAGGTACGCATATTTATTATTCAATTATTATTTAGTGTAATACGTATAAATGTAAAAAGTGTTCTCATCAGTGTTGGGTAAATTACTTTTAAAAAGTAATGAAATTACATTACTCGTTACTTCAAATATTTCTATTTAAATTACATTTGCGTTACCTAAAATTATTTTTATCACGTTACATTACTTTTTCATTAATAAAGTAGTGTGTTACAAATAACGTTACTTTTTTTATCATTTATTTCTAACCATATTCAATTCATATGATTCAATTATTACGTATATATTTTACAATCATAATTCATAGGCCTATTTTAGTATTTACGAATTTACAATCACCTCACCTATATGGCTATATTATTATATAGTCATAAATCATAAATCATAATTAATTTTTATTAAATTTTATTTTTAAACCGAACTCTTTTTTCTGCTAATAAAGTGATAACATTTATTCCTGGAGTGTTTAGTAAATTGTTAACTATAATTTTTATTGGAATCAAAAATAAATATTATGGATTATTAATTCTTCTGGGATATCTTATACCTGTAGGTAATTTAATCAAAACTATTATTTTAATAACGTGGAAAATAACGCGTTAGTGCGTTAGGTACTTCACATAAATTACTTTTCAAAAGTAATTTTGTTACAATTACGTTACTTTAAGTAAAATGTAATGAAATTACTGCTGGGTTACTGAAAAAGTAATTGCGTTACAGTAATTTGTAATTTGCTTTACGTTACTACCCAACACTGGTTCTCATACATTATAATATATACATATAATAACTGTTGTATCAAGTATGTCAATATGATCATAATTAATAATTCATATTAGCTGCATTGCCTACAAAATATTGATAAAATATAATACGCGACACCTAATGTGTAAATATTTATATTTCAATACATAAGCTTACAAGGTATTGGAATTTTACTCACACATTCAACTCCACGTAAGGAAGTTTTTTTGGATCTTATAATTTTTAAATGGATAACTAATATCATTGAACCAATACTGAACTGAAGTTGGAGAATTTAAAAAGTAAATTTGATGAAAGATAAGTTCTAATGGACCTAATCAGTAGAAAAAATATTATTCGGCGATCAGTAGAATTTAATTGAGTATGAAACGAACCAATGGCGTAACTAAAACTTCCAATGCCTGTGGAAAAATAATTCAGAGGGCCTTTTATTTTACAAATCCATCCCCTGCAGAGTCATCATAATAATAATTTTTATCTGTAAATGTTTTGTTTAGAATCATGAACTTAGATAGTTCATAGTATCTTAGTTCTGGATTAGAATTTCTATATTTTTATTTTTCTTATTAAAATATCGGGAGTGGAGAATTGACATCAAACATTAATTAGATTTCAAAATTATATTATAGCGGGCCAATATTTCATAAACACCGCAGATAGGTAGTAGGTACCTCTCTCTATACATATTAAAATAGATTGGCGACTCATGTTAATGGTTGGAGTCAAAATCCATTATTTTGTGGGAATTATAAATTTTGACATAGAAAATTCTGACCTCAGCGCTGTTGCTTACTTTCATACCACTATCAAAAATAAAAAAATGCTTACTAATTAGATTACAATTATTTGTATATTATTATAAATATGATCATATTTTTTTAGGTTTTCATCCGTCATTTTAATGGGTAAACGAAAAACTGGTACGGTCTGTATAAACGCGGAATACTGGTACGGTTCACAATAGTAAAGGTTTCCCAAACTTTTATGAAAAAAAAAAAGAATAAAATATCAACGATTATTTTTAATTTTATTTTACCGACGATCGATGGGAAAACACGACTCACGAGTGACTGAGAATGAAAATTCAAAATTATACCTAATATGGACATTTATGCCAATCTACATGGCGAAAAGCTCAACAATTAGGTATATGTTCCTTATACAGAAATAACATAGATTTTAGAATAAGTTACTGTATGATTAACGCTTTAGCGGTTTTACCCAATAGTGAAGTAATAGATGGAATGGTTTATTTATATACAACGACACCTGTAGAACTGTTACCGTTACTTAAAATATTTTGACGAAACTTATGTTAGTGGGAAGTCTGGGAGCCCAATATTTTCTCCAAACTTCTGGAATGTACTTTGCAAAGACAAACTATACAACGAATGTGAGAACTTCTTAAATAAAGAAATTCAATTAGGAAAATTTTTAAATAATATAACAAAGTATACGAAATAATTATTATTAATCATAAATTATATTATATTATATTTATTGTACCTATATTTTATATTTATTTTACCTGCCTGCTACTTTGTATGTACTTATTGGTGTTTTTTGGTAATTTTGATTGCTAACATATTTTTTTTTTGTTTTAAGTTTTATTTAAATTTAACTTGTTGACGATGGTGATTTATCAAAATTATATTATAAACATTGTAAATATTTTAGGACCCCTGAAAATTAAATTTTGAATAGTACCAGTTTTCCGCGTTTTTTATTTCTTTTGTTATAAATGGTATGGACCGTACCAGTATTCCGAGCATCATTTTAATCAGATGAATACAAACTTTTTAAATTAAAATATCTAAAACCAATAATTAGATCTTGAGTGTTAATTTAGATTTGTATTTTATATTGTGAGATAAATTATTTATATTAAGAATTATTGGGGAGTTATTTTTTGTATTGAGCTAGGTACCTATATTTAAAAATAGCGGTACACTGCGAAAAAAATCTGCACACACCAATAATAGCCTGAACTACCTACAACATGCTTTTTGAATTAGAATCGTAACACAGCTGATTTTGAAACCAGATTAGGACACGGTAAAATAATATTTGTCTGAAAAGAATCTACAGTCTACATTTTAAACAAAAGGATAACCAAACCTAACCGTTCCACAATTATTACAATATCGACAACGTAGACGAGATGCTATAACAGATAAAATAATCTATAAAATACAACCGTGTCAGTCATTATTCTAAATGGTAAATGTATTAATTTTCAGTGATTTAATTTTTTTTAAAGAACATCTTATATTTTAATTTTATAATAATAGTGATCTGTGTTTTTGGATTTGTGACATTTCTTAAAGGGGCCGCTAAAGTCACGGGCCAGTGACGCATTGACGTCATGCCACTCTATCGGTACACCACAGAAACGAACACATTATTAAAAAAAAAATATTACTCCACTAATAATAATTACTACATTAATTATTGATTAACAAATACAACCGTTTATTGCTCTTATATAGGTACATTACAATTTAAAATATCATAAGAATTTTTTTAGGTAAATAAATATTCAACATTTTTATTGTCCAACAAAAATATATTTTTTCCCTTGTACTAAAAGTGAAACAGTAGTAAAATTTAATATTAAAGAGCCTTAGAGCATCTATTCCATACACAAACATATCTAATAAAAAAATAATGAATATAATAAATGGACTTAATATTTTAGTAAATGTACAGTTTGAAATTTAAGAATTATAAATAAATACATTTTCATTATTTTATTTTAAATTTACAGCTGGTCCAATGTTTATGTGTTCTAAACTCTGAAATGGACTTA